TTCATTGAAAACATCAAAAAATAGCTTAACGAGTAAAACAGAACTTTTAAATTATTCTAGTATTGAATAATGTGCTTTCAGTTTTCACTTGCGGTAAGTCGAACAGAGTAGTCATTGCGCAAGCAATAAAGTTAAAGAGTCGAGAAGTGTGCCAAACAATTTTTAAAAAGATCGAGATATGATATGTGTTTGTTGATAGATTGAATTATTTCAACATATGCGTTGTTATTGATAAGAAATCAACTTGTTCTCGAAATAACAATAAATTGATATTCATCTTGACGTTTTTTCATTGTAACTACGTAATTTGATAAAAGCATATATTGTGATTCAAAAAGTTTAAAGCAAAACTCAATATTTGTAATAATTTGTTTTCTTTTATTTTATTGCAAATGTAGGAACTTAAAATATTTCGGAAGCAATAAAACCGTTTCAAAATTCACGTTCATTCAAAATCTTTACTTTGTTCGGCAATATTTTCTTGAATCCAATCAAGTTTCGTATAAACACGAGTAAACGCATCTGGATAGCCTTTCGCACAAGGAATTCCCCACGACACGATACCAATCAATGTTTTATTTTCAGGATTCGTTGCGTCGACCAAAGGACCACCTTTTCGAAGAAAAAAAATGTTACGATTAAATGTCGCTTCAACACAGATATATTGTAATATTCAACTTACCGCTATCACCGTGGCATGCTCCGATATCGGCTGGATTTATTGTACAAAGTATGCTATCATCAATCAAATGGACAGCTCCATGACCTTTGAATCTTTCTTTACAGTCGCCGACGGTGAGTGTGGTTGGTGTGATAAATTGCAAAATGTCTGGCAGTCCATTGCTGATTGGGTACTGAAATTTATCGTTTTAATTTATATTCCATGAAATATCCAGAAAATAATAACTTAAGCTATAAAATGGCGACACGAAGAGTATAAAACTTTCGCACCCGATGCTATTCTAAATATGAAATTTAAAAATGTGGGCAATAATATATGCATACCTCAGTGCGTCCCCAGCCTGACAGAAGAACCTCGGTATCGCCGACGATATTTTGTGTTGGCAAAGCGATTGGTTGAATGAGATTAGTGAAGACGATTTTTTCAGCGGCACGCAACAATGAAATGTCATTAAAGTATTTGTGTGTATTGTACTTTTTGCTTGGTGTAATTTTGTCCAAAGCGATAGTAACACCACCCTTGAGACGACGATATGAACCGGCCACAGCATACACGATTTTTGGATCAGATAACTGTCCCTGAGTGCAATGAGCGGCTGTCAACATGAAACGATCGGTAATAATTGAGCCACCGCAAAAGTGTTGTTTGCTCGATTTTGTGCGAAGTGAAATTTGGTATGGAAACTGGCCTTCGACAGCATCTTCACCGCCTACGATACGATTTCCGAACACATCAGAATCGATGTGAGCCGCAGCAATAAATGCTACACAAAATGTCAAAAAGATCAAACTAATCGTCTTCATGTTGACTTTAAACTAATATTTTTTGGCACAATGCTACCGCCTTTTATTCCCGAAAATAGTCTCATTTTATTGCGATAGATAATAATCGATTTGACGATAAATCTTATCAGATGATTAGTCATGATGATCTATGACATCTATCGATTAGTATTACATCTAATTGCAACACCTCTTCAAGGTTACATCTATCGTCCGCGATTATTTTTTTTTATTTATTACAAACTAACCGTAACAATTGGGTAAGTGCGTAGTTTTAAAGTTATTGAAAAATGAAGATACTTCTCATATTTTAATAAAAAAAAGTGTGTGATTATTAACTTGACACACACAAAAGTTATTGTATTTTCTCAGCAACATTTAAAATATCAGAATGAATAAATTGCGAACATTTTTGTAAGATTTCATACAGAGACTGGTGTTCTCTGGATTCCTAATAACTTCAACATATATAGAGCGAATTTCAGTTAAGTGTGATTTTTAGTTAAGGCCACTTTTTGGCGTTTAGCAAATTTTTGGCCAATTAAAAAGATATCAGAACACTTAAATACTATTTGAAAATAAATCTAAAAACACAATTGAGCTACACGAACACACATTTCAATGTTTTATGGCGTTGTGTCCGTAAGTATCATAGAATATAGAAAATCGTAAGATCTTTCAACAACATACAACGTATAAATGGATACTTATTTGTGTGGGTAGAAATCAATAAATCACGAAAAACATGGAAATACATAAAATAAGTGAATTGAATGGAAATTGGCCCAAATAAGCGTCTGATAAAGAAACAAGTTATGGAAGTTAAAAACAAAATTCAATATTTGTTATAATTTTTTAAATTTTATTTCGTAATAATTGCAAGAAATCAAAATCAAAACATTTGGAAAGCAATATAACCGCTGCAAAATTCACGTTCATTCAAAATCTTTACTCTGTGCGGCGATATTCTTTTGAATCCAATCAAGTTGCGTATAAACACGTGTAAAGACATCTGGAAAGCCTCTGGCACAAGGAACTCCCCATGATACGACTCCAACCAATGACTTATTTTCGGGATTCGTTCCGTCAACCAAAGGACCACCTTTTCGAAGAAAATGTTTCCATTAAAATTCCGCTTCAACACAGATATATTGTAATTAAAGGTGTCAACCGAACACAAACGGACAGAAATTTGTCCAATTTTGTTCGTCCGTCCGGTCCGAAAGCCTTAGCAAACGGCGTTTATCAAAAATGTGTTCCATCACAATCGAGTAAAAGTCCGAAAGCCCGTTCTCATTTTCGGACAATCGGACTGGACGTCCGAAATCCAATGTACAATATACGAACATCGGATCGAACGTCCGAGAATTTGCTAAGGTTTTCGGACCGCTCGAACGGACAAGATTTGTTCGGTTGACACCTTTTATTGTAATATTCAACTCACCGCTATCACCATGGCATGCTCCGATATCGACTGGACTTATTGTACAGAGCACACTTTCACCAATAATATCCTCAAGATCTGCCTCAGCGAGCTTTTCCTGGCAGTCATCAACATTCAGTGATTGTGTTTTGATAAATTGCAAGTTGTCTGGCAAGTCCTTGTCGCTTGGGTACTGAAATTTATCGTTTTAATTTATATTCCATGAAATATCCAGAAAATAATAACTTAAACTATAAAATGGTGACACCAAGAGTATAAAATTACAGTGTGTACTATTCTAAATATGACAATATAATGAATGTTTGGATGAAAATATATGTATACCTCGGTGCGTCCCCAGCCGCTTAGAACGAGTTCGGTGTCGCCTGCGATATTTTGTGTTGGCAAAGCGATTGGTTGAATGAAATTAGTGAAGACGATTTTTTCAGCGGCACGCAACAATGAAATGTCATTAAATGAGTGGGTATTGGCATGTATATCGAAATCTTTGTGTGGTGTAATTTTGTCCAAAGCGATAGTAACACCACCCTCAAGACGACGATATGTACCAGCAACGACATACATGCCTGATGGATCAGGGTGTCTATAATTGCAATGAGCAGCTGTCAACATGAAACGATCGGTAATAATTGAGCCACCGCAAAAATGTTGGTTGCTCCATTTGTCGCGAAGTGAAATTTGGTATGGAAACTGGCCTTCGACAGCATCTTCACCGCCTACGATACGATTTCCGAACACATCAGAATCGATGTGAGCCGCAGCAATAAATGCTACACAAAATGTGAAAAAGAACAAACTAATTGTCTTCATGTTGACTTTCAACTGACAATTTTGGCAAAATTCTACCGACTTTTATTTCCAAAAGTTATCTAAATCTACTGCGATAGACAAAAATCGATTGAGCAATCAACCTTATCTTGAACATGTCGAAGTGAATTCTACTGCTGACATTCGCCTAAGAAGCGAAGATGTGCTCGTATTGGCTTTAAACGAGTAATGCTATATTTATAGTACGCAATTTTTTTCTTCAACTACAAAGGGCAAAGTTGCTAATCATATTTGAATTTAAAAAATGTGTAATTATCTTGAAACATGCCCAATTGAAAATGATCATTACTCAAAATAAATTGCATTCTCTTTTTTGAGAATTGCGTTGATTTCTTCTTAGGAAGAATATTTGTTTGAAAAATGTTTTCAACGAAATAATTTCAAGATGACGTCAAGAGGTGCAAAGCTTAAAAAAAAATTGCAAGTTTTCAATTTTTCAAGTGCGCATTTCTAAGTTCAATGATTTCTGAGTTTCGTTATTCGCTTTTAATTCATGACTGAGCCATCCGTTTTGGATTTTACATCATCCATCATTTTTTTGGTGATTTATGACCGACAAGTGTGAACGGAATCATGTATATGGGAATGAAGTGGTTTTTGTCCGGAATGCGAAGATAAACATCAAACATTTAGGTCCTTATTAACAAATGATTAACAAATGAACAACAGACAGTAAATGCTGAACTTTATTTAAGTACATTTGTAACACCTGACGAGTAAATTTCGTATTTTTTTTTTCACAAAAAAGAAGTTCTGATACTATTGTGTTATAATGCCCTTAAAGAACACTTTAAATCGTCATGCAGTTAAATTTCAAGGGATTATGTTTTTTGGCAGTCGATACAAGTCGAAAGGCATTAATGGTGTCAGCGACAACGAATGTCTGGCGCGACTTAGGACCATTTCTATGTAATATTCTCTTCCTTTTAGCCTTCAAAGTTCACTTTTTCTCCATTTCTCCTTTTGCATACTCATATAAAAACAAATGACGGTGTACACGTCCATTTAACGTTAAAGAAAAGCGTCACTGTATTTTTTGTTAAAAAATTGTTGTCGAATAAAAAAAAACACGTTGTAAATAATATTTTAAGAACGTGACGGCTTAAAAATTATTTTAGAACAAAAATCAGTTGATTTGAGTGCTGTTGCATTGACATGTAGTCTATAGCGCTTGCTCCTTTCTGGTTTAACCAAAAGAGTGGAAGAATGACAAGGACAGCGTATGACGTTGAACGACGCTCACTGCGTTAGAAAAGAGCAAGCGCTATAGACTATATGTCAATGCAACAGCACTCAAATCAACTGATTTTTGTTCAAATAGAATTTTTAAACCGCCACGCTCCTAAAATATTGTTTACATCGTGTGTTTTTTATTCGACAACAATTTTTTAACAAAAAATAACGTGACGCTTATCTTTAACGTTAAATGGACGTGTACACCGACATTTGTTTTTATATGAGATATATTCAACCAAAGTTCATCATTCATTCTCAGGTTTTTCATGTGCAATAAATATAATATGTGCCAAATTCCATTCTTAATGAAGAACACTTCAGATGCAATCTCAATTATTTTTCCATATTCTAAATACCATTAGATTATACAAAATGATAAAAACGTGTACGTAGGTTGCTCCATAATTTTTTTTAAAATGGTACTTATAGTGTTGCCCGATGTAAACCATTGTCATATTCGTAAAGTTTGATGTTTTGGTATGTATTCGTGCCCTGAACCTTTTGTCGTACGAACGCTATTTGTATTGTTTACAGTGACTGGTAAACTGCGACTCAACAAAAAAATGAATTTTACACGTGAAGATTTTCGTAAAATGATTTACTACGATTTTCGAAGTAAATTATCTCAACAACAGTGTTTCGATCGACTTCATTTGGCCTTTGGCAATGAAGCACCAACCCTTCAGACAATTTATAACTGGTACCGAGAATTCCGTTGCGGTCGTAGTTCGCTCAAAGACGAGTTTCATACAGGTCGTCCAAAATCGGCTGTTGTGCCACAAAACATCGATGCTGTCAGAAAACTGATTATGGAAGATCGTCATGTGACCTACCGTGAGATTGAGGCATCTTTGGGCATTTCATCCCACAGCATACATACAATTTTGCATGAACATTTAGCCGTAAAAAAGATTTGCTCTCGTTGGATCCCACATAAATTGACCGATGAACAAAAATGGCTCGTGTGAGTTGGTGTAAAGAAATGCTCAAGAAATTCAATCGTGGTGCTTCAAAAGACGTTAATAAAATCGTCACTGGTGACGAATCGTGGATATATGCCTATGAGCCCGAAACGAAACAGCAGTCGACTGTATGGGTCTTCCAAAATGAAGGTAACCCAACGAAAGTTGTTCGAGCAAGAAGCACTTCGAAGCGAATGGTCGCCTGTTTTTTCGGGAGAAGTGGTCATGTGGCAACCGTTCCACTAGAGGATCGTAAGACCGTCAATTCTGATTGGTATACCACCATTTGTTTGCCCGAAGTGTTTGGTGAAATAAGAAAAAACAACCACCGTCGCAAAATAATTCTTCATCACGATAATGCGAGCTCTCACACATCTTTTCAAACTACTCGATTTTTGACCGGTCAAAACATCGAACTGATGGGTCATCCACCGTACAGTCCTGACCTGGCACCCAATGACTTTTTTTTGTTCCCAAGCGTGAAGAAAAAACTACGTGGTCAACGATTTTCGACACCAGAAGAAGCAGTTGAAGCGTTCAAAACACACGTTTTGGAGATATCAGTTTCGGAGTGGCACGAATGCTATGACAAATGGTTTCATCGAATGCAAAAGTGTATCGATCATCTCGGGGAATATTTTGAAAAACAATAAAACCATTTTCGACAAAAAACAACTGTGTTATATATGTTTTTAAAAAAAATTATGGAGCAACCCTCGTATCGATAAGTGCACTTTGAAGTGTACATACTTTAATTGTTGTTATAATTTTGCTTTTGTTATCTCCGAATTGACTAATACATTTTGTTGTTGAATTTATTTTCATTTATTTAGGGTTTTAATTCATTTTATTTGAATCGCGATGCGTTTCTCTTGCGTTGAAATTTGAATTTCAAATGGTCTGTTTTTATCAATATCTCTCTTTCTTACATGTACTCCTAAATTTATTAATAAAAAAGGATATAAAAATCATTATTATTCAATTTTTATTGTGTTTTTCTTTCTCCCATTTATTCCATACGGAATTTTCATTTAATATTTAAAACGTTCCAAAAATGAAAAAGCCCTGAATTATTTGTATAATTTTAACAACGTCAATTTTGTGCTTTTTCAACTGAGCACTTGCCGAATGTAAATCCTTTGATTTCTGAAAAATCGAGAAAAAATTCAATGTTTTTTTTAATGTTTGAAATGGTTATTTGAAAAAATGTGATTTTTTATTTGTTTCTTACCCAAAGCGTTGTATACTTGCGATGAAAACTAGGATCACCGATACTTTGTACAAATGTAGCGAATTTCGGGCTACTATCCAATTTCTCGAAGAAAAGCATGAATATTTCGTCTTGAGGTAATAAAGCGAGAACATCTTCAACCAAACCATTTAAACCGCCAATGGTTGTATTTGTGCCTAGTGATTGATTGGAAGAAACGTTCTCATTACAATGATATATTAATGTTGATGCGGTTTCCGATCATACTTACCGAATTGTGTTTGTGGATTGAATGCCAATTGTGATGATCGAATTTTCGACACGCCCAATCGATGATCTAATTTTCGAATAAGACTCTTTGCATTCAAACCATTTTTATTCAAGTATTGTAGTGTTTCTTTAACATCTGGCAATTCCAGTATGTTTTTTCGCAATTCAATGAACTCTTTCCCATGCATATATTCAAAAATATGCTGTACATCCATATCATTGCGATAATATTCTTCAATTTTTGCTTTGATTTCAGCTTTCGGCACTAATTCTATAAAATCATTAACGTCATCGTTTAAGTCGGCCTTTCGTTGTTTTGCTTTGGTTTGTGGTCGTTGTGCGTTTTGTTGTTTCATTTGCCGTTGCTGTTGATTTGCAAACGTTTTTGTGATTTCATCTTCGTTTGATTTTTCACTTAAATCCGGTATTTCAGCATTGAATGGATTGATTCCGGTTTCAGAATCACCACTTTGTTCACCACTATCAGACAGTTGCGATGTAACAGCAGCTTCGGTTATTGTTACAGCATTTAATGCTAAACTTATAGCCAAAACAATAACTAACATATTTTCTATTTATCAATTAGTACACTAGAATTTCAGTGAAAGTTAATTTTTCAAATCGAAAAAGAAAAATCGTCGGCACCTTTCAAGACAGCAGGCTATACGTAAAATTCAATCGATAGGCACAGAAATAGAGATCACAAGATGATGACCGAGTTTTTAAGACTGAATCGCATCTCCTTCGAAACTCTTGCCAAATGAATGGGTACAGTGTTTTATACAGCGGATACTATCACTTTAGCCCGTTCACCACATTATTTGATATAGAGCTTAAATTTAATAGAAATATTCGGTGTTGCGCTTCCATCAATTGTCACAGTAATCAAATTTATTGAATAATTTCATTGAATCGGGGAGGCGACAAAACGAACAGACACAGACCTCAAGAATTTCATATTGACGACTCTCTTTTTTTTTAATATAGAATCCGTTTGCATTGATATAATGATGAATCGTTTTGACGATAGAAGAGGAACACCAATTTAAGCGAATATTTAGTTCATTCAAGGAAGTTTTTGAGATCGTTATTTCGGTTGGACCGCAATTTTAAAGTGTCATTGTTCTTTATTTATGAATGAGACTGTGAATGTGTATATTTAGATATGAAATGTAATGTATAACACACGATGAGGTTACGGTTGCGCAAAATATACGATTAGGGTGCACCGGTACTCGCAGATACATTATGAATTCAAATCATCAGTGTGTTTTTCTTGTGACGCAAAACATCTTACCCGACCGACGTCTTACCAATAATAACAACTAATATTTTACAATTCTGTTAATGTATTTGGAACAAAGTTTAAAAAAGATTCGAAATTCATTTATTATAAGGTCAATCGTGGCTTGAATCATGTGATCATCGTGCTACTTTCCCAACAAACATTTGTTGTGGCAAATTCATCCATTATCGGGCATATGTTGACGGTCAATATTGGGGTTGGATTTGTGTGTAGTTTCAGTCAATTTTACCGTCAAAATGGAAAGGGAAAAAAAAGAAAAAAACAATTCAGTTAGATTGAATGCAAAAATAAACTATCAATTCAATAAAGTACTCACCTACGGGTTCTTTTATATTCCGCACAGCCCTAAATAGGGACCCGTACTGCGGTCACCCTAAAGTAAAACGACACAGTCGTTTTTTTAAAAAAAGCTTCCTGTTTACCATTTGAAATGCGCATTGAGATCTCACACATTCAACACCCAATACTGCATGGTAAAAAGAACTTAAACCTAACTTATTGAATTAGTTAAATTTTCCAAAAAAAAAAATTGTTTTACCGGAAATTGGTTTTTGCCAGTAACAACCAATACTAATATTTTTGATAGTTTATTCGTTTTTGTCTTTTTCTTCAGTATTGAATATATGAAATAAGTTTGAATAGTGGTGATTTAAATCACGGCACGATCAAAATCATTTAAATAAATCAACAATTTTTTCAATGGATAAACATTTACATTGGTAGTCGTCTAGTGAACTCGGAAGGGGTCAATTGGGAAACATACCGTTGGTATTCCAAATGGGATTGAGATGCCTATATGTTCAAAAAACACCTTTGATTTAAGATTTTTTTACGGAAAGATGTCATTGCTGGATTTATGTGAGTAGATTATCTTAATCTTTTTCACAGAAAAAAAAAACGTTCAATTAAATTTTATGAATCAATTTATTAAATTGCATCATTTAGCAACTATTGAAATAGCGGGGTCGAAAGATATTTTTAAGGTAACAACAATGTGTTGAAATCATATTATTTTTACTATGTTATCGCGACGCATTCATCACCAGACTCAACGAGTAGAAACGAGAGCGACTCATGGAATATTTTCGAGACCTGAATAATCAAAAATCACGATTAACTCCACTTTCATTAGATGAAACCGTTGGCAAAATGAATTCATGTGAGATAGCATACTTTCACGTGACTAACACAACAATCGTAATGTAAAAGATTGTTAAATTTAAAATTGTTCTTTTGTTATTTTCATAAATTCTTGAATCAGTCAAACTATTCTGGAAGAAAGTGGACTCCGTCTGGCTGTGAATGACCCCGACATATTTTGAAACTTCTTAAAAAATATTCCATGAGATTTGCTGTTCATTTCGGATTGATTCAATTATAATTTCCAGTCCTCTATCATAATCTAATTTATAGTTGTTTTTGTTCATGTTGCTAGTGCAAAAAGTACGAATAAATTAGTTTATGGAATTTACATATTTCAAAACCATCGCCGCCACGGCACGATACAAGTTATCCAAATGTGAAAGATATATGGTTTGAAAATTGGTCCAAAACATGTTTTGGTCTGTGCTGTTTTAATAGATGCAAACGTATACAATGCAATTCAATGTCGACATCATATTATCAAATCATAACTTGCCAACAGCTAACGAAATTTGATTGAAGGAGAAATCCAAAGATCGATATGAATGGATAGTCAACAACGCCATCTATGAGATTCCATAAGCACTTTACCTAGACTTTACCATTGACGTAAATTACTTTAGAGCGTAAAGAAGAACTTTTCGTATACCAATTTCGGTTGAACAGATCAAATGAAGGAAATTTTGAAAAGAAAAAAAAAAACACATTTTTGCAAAAAAATTCATTGTTATTAAATTCTCTTGAAAACCCACCCAAATGAATTGAATTCAATTGTTTGTTCATATGAAAAAAAAATCTTAAGTATTTTCTACCAAATAGTAATGCTCCTTAAGCTTTAAGTTTTGACAAATGTAAAATATTCGATAAGTACACCCATACACTCATTTAATGCACACCAACACAACCAAATCGTGTCTCATAAAATGGAATACAAAAACATCAGAAACAAAAATTACACGATGTAGTTGTGCAGAAACCATTGTGAAATCTGTGCAAGTTGCGAGCAGTCAATAGAAATGTATTAATCAAATAACACAAAAAGTATTACGGTCGCATAATCAATTTATTTTTTTTTTGTTTTTTTTTTTTAAAAAAAACCGAGTAAATTTTAGTTGAAAGAAGCAACAAAACAAGCCGAATATGAACATTCGAAATATGTGTTTGCTTAGTACAATCGATGAAATGAAAAATAAAAATTGATTTGGCAAATGAGAATACACTTTGATTAGCTGGAGCAAGAGAGTGCGACAGAGAGAGAACGGACAATCGAAATTTTTTTATGTGCCAATTCCGGTGTGTCTGTACTGTGCTGTATGAATACAGAGAGTGTGAAAGATCCATTCAATTGCCTGAAAAATTGTAAAAAGAAGACGAAAAAAAAAGTTTTCCATTTCTCGTCATCATTTATAATTGCAAAGCATTCCAGCCAATTGATTTGTAATTGTGTTCGTGTAAAGAGAAACAGTGTTGTTCGTGCCTTTATTTAAAAAACAAATCAAAGAAGAAGAAATATCGACGTACCACACAATCTTTGTTTATTTATTTACATATTAATAAATCTGACATCGATTTTGGACTTGAGTGCGTGTTTCCTCTTGCTTAATGTTTCACCTTTAATTGAATATTTTGAACACATTCGCTTCATTAGCAGACAGATGCAAACAAGTTAGCAAGACAAAATATCGACGGATTCGTTTTTTTATTCGTTTGTTATTTTATTTTAAAAAAAAATAGTGAATGAATCATTGTGTTTTTGATTTGGTTGATTTTGTTTCGGTTTTGTATTGTTGTGAGTGCAATAATAATATAAACATTCCGTTTCAATCATAAACCATTTTGGATTCTGATTTCATCAGATTTAATGTTGAACAATTTAAGAAATAATGATCTAGTGAGCGATATTCAATACGATAAATTCGATGGAAAAAATCGAGCAAAAAAGTAACGAGACAAACAAAGTGTGGTACCGTTTATTATTTGGCATTTGTGCACCGACCAACGAACAAATCCATACACCATTGTCCATCCAAACGACAATAGATTGAAAAATTGCAACAAATAACCAGCAAAACAAACGAAATAGAATACAAATAACATCAAACATGGATACATTTAGGAAATGGTGGAACAAACCCAAGGTAAAACATACTTGTAATAACATCTTTTTTTTGTGTTTCTAGCATTACACACATGCGGTCATGTGGATGGGCTTTAATAAATGTGGCCCATGGATAGAAATGAAAAAAAAAACACAACACCACAACAACAACAATGGTCAATCGAAAAGAAATTGTACAGAAGAAAAAAAACATTTTTTTAAAATGATCAAATATTGATTTCCTTTGCAATTTAAATTGTTGTGCATGTGTGTTTTTTTCTCTCCGCGAAACCCGTCCTACTCTTTCGTTCAAAACATTATCTTGTCAAATGTGTTTGAAATAGTAGATACATAAAAGTTTTTTTTTTTGTTTTCGTTGTAATGCGTGCATAAAAACAACGTCATTCGGCCATGCGAATGTAAAAAAGAAAAGCTATTGTGTCATCGATGTGTGAACGTGTGAATGCGCGCACGTGTGTGTGTGTGTGTGTGTGTGTGTGAATATACGCGACTGAAGTAAAACAAATTGTGTCAGTGTATATGTTGTGTTGTGTTTGCATTCAAATACACATAGTATATTACTTATTTTAAAGTATCCACTGTCAATGTTTGCGAATTTAAGAAAAGAACCACTTTATTGTCGATGAGGTTCAACATATGTGTCATAGAATTTATTTGTATTTGGCATTAAATACACGGGTATACATGTTTATTAGTCATTTCATATGCGATATGTTCACATTAGTTCAGTCTATAAAAAAAAAAAAAATAATATGTGACTGGACTGGCGATAAAGCGATAATAATAACAGTAAGAAGATAGAATGAAAAAAACACACGCGCGCGTACACACACACATGCACAATATAAATGCACTGAAATATGATCAAATAAGATATGATATTTAGAACACAGCGATAGCAGAAAAAGATATACACAGAGAGTGAAGGAGTTTTTTTTGTTATTGTTTTTGTTGTTTTATTAATCACATGACTGTTGTGAACTTACTGAAAGAGAAATAATAATAGCCAATCAATAATGAGCAAAATGACACAGCAAATGTGTGCGCGGAAAAGCCCCATGTTACTAATGAAAAAACATGGATGGTATTGTGTGTTTGGCAACGATGAATCATTATTCGATTCGATGCTGTTTCGGCAAAATCTGCGCTTTGCTCCGGTTGTGGTAAAGATGTTTCATGCGCCAAAGTGTTTTAATTGTAAAAAAAAAATACATAGATCACTTGTTGAATTCGAATATGAGTTGAAAATCAGCTGATTGCAGAACATACGACCATGAAACAGTTGCTGATTTTGTTGTTGTAAATGTTGGCTGCTGCTTGATTTTGGCAATTTGTAACGCAGTAGGCTTTGAACTGAATCGTTTTGTCCAATGACTCTGAGAGAGCGAGAGCGAGACTCCCTTGGAGCTAATAATAGACGCAATTGAAATAATGGTGTAATTCCAATTGGATTTGTTACAGCTTTTCACGGAATAATGTTTTTATATTGGTCGGTTGTTCGATAGAGCAAATTAACTCATTTCCACACTCAATTAGAAACATCTATTCAAGTTTTTTTTTCTGGTTGTGAAATTCTCTAAGGAGTTTTATAAAGTGAACATTTCCACGAAATCGACGATGCACACTTTATAAAATAGACCACATGCCGTATCTGATATTCTATTTGTAAAAATGTGATGCGACAAGCTCGGCATTATTTTGTGGCCCGAGCCATTTTTACACTGACGATCGTTTGCATCGAATTAAAGGTGATCAGTTTCAGTGCAAGAATAAGATAATGAAAGTGACGTCAATGACTAAATATTTGCGGGCCATCCAGTCTACAGGCAAAAATCACATTCACACATAACTGAATCTGTGCTTTTTTTTACTTCTACTCGCAATGAATTTAAGAAGACGAAAAAAACGGTCGTGACTTTGAACAGTAATAAGAAGAAAAAAGCAATAACTGAAACAATTCAATTACACCGAAAAAAGAATCGTTAATTCATTACAATAAAAAGAAACATCATATAACACCTAGTATATAACAGTCTCGATCGCAATCACATAATTCGCACACATTTTCCAATCAAAACAATGAACGTTACGTAGCACACATTTCCAATGGTTGATTGTTTTGTTTCATTTCATTTTATGCCGTTTTTTTTCTCTTTCGAATCAAAGTTTTTCTTCGTTGTTTTTTTTTTAGTTTCAGTCTGGCAATTATTCGAAAGAAAAATGTGTATGCCATTTGAATGGCAAATGTGCCACCGAAACACATACAACACTATTTCATTATTGCCGAAATCAGATGAAAACTATTCAGGACGTTTTTCATGTTCAATTTTGTGCGAAATCAACACATTGTTTTCATTTTCTTGTTTCCGCTTTTAGCCTAACAACAACACAAAATTGTTCTGTTCCATTTTGCACACACAAATGAACGAAACTTTTGAGCGGCGTGCGCGCGTGTGTATGTGTGTTTCTTTTTATGTTCAGCAACCGAATCCGTCTCTTTTTTTGTTTGGCATACGTACGAGACGTTAAAATACTGTGTTTCACTTTTGATCTGAAAACCCATTTGAGTGCCAACAACTATGAAACAAGTGCATAGTTTAATGGCAAACAAGAAATGTACTTTAGCTTTAAACAAGAAACCAAATTGCCGTTTAACGGCCCAACAAGTAATTGTGCAGTCGATGTGTACACTGTACACGTATACAGAATGGAGAGAGAGAATTTTGTACAAGAGCAAAAATCAACCGAATCAAAAATTAATTTTCGAAGTGAATTCGGAACAATTGCTTTATTTCTCGTCAAAAATGCCAAACTTTGGGGTTTTCGAGATATTTATTCATATTTCGAAAATTGTATCAGCAGAAGATATTAATTCTGTTGATAGATAGACGGAGAGAACACTCTCTGTGAGATGAATCGAAACGAGATGCAGAAAGATATACATAGAAGGAGTGAGAGATAATGAGACAAGAAAAACAGGTACCATGTGTAACGATCACATCGATTAATTTTGTTTGGTTTGAAAGAAACAAAACTTGTTACGTCTCGATTAAATTACGACTGTGATACGAGTGTGTATCAACAATAAAAAAATTATACAGAGCATAACAATGACATTTGTGTGCAAATCCGTATAACAATCTCGGAATGTTGGTTGAAACATCGCGAAATTGTGAAAGTGAGTTTTATTCGCATTTAGATTGCGTTATATTCTTATCATTCAACATATAATATATTATTTGAGTTGAATTTTAATGGAAATGGTGATTTTTTTTTATATCATCTGTGCCATTTCTAAAAAGTTCAAAGAAAAAAGTTGATTGAAAAATTCATGATCACCATCACACACGTCAAGCAGATAAGATTGAAAAACGTTGAAAAGTCAAAGGTCATATCATCGTTTTTAATTGGAGGACTTCCACGAAATGAATCGAATTCGACGAGGGAATACACAATTCAATTGCATTTGCGTTAGATTCAATTTTAGAAGAGAAACGGGGCGGCAAACGATTGTGATTGTTTCCATGACATTGCCTTAGCGATTGAATAAAATATTTAAAATAGATGTGTCTATTGAGATAACATGGCATAAAAAAAATCGCAGAGAAGCTAATCATTCGAATTATTATCATTGTTAATAATTGAGAGCTATATTTTCCGAATGCACAGTTTCTTTCGTAATCTCTTAACAATCGCTTGAAAATCCCATGGCATTCTTAAATATCGTTTGGAAATTCGATGATTTATTATAATCAAATCCACCTTAATTCATTTGCATTATCAGGACGTGTAATCGCATACATGTGTCGGATTTTTCTCTCGATTCATTTTTACCCGATTTAAAAACAAAAGGCGTCTCAATCTACATATATACAAAAAACAAAATATAACGTTGGCTTGAGTCACGGGCGATTTCATGAAAAACGCAGTTCCTATGGCATGCCAGTGTTTTTGCTTTACTTGTTTTTCTCTTGTCGAGCACAATCTCATTATCTTATGAATTTCCATAATACGCATTATTCATGATTGGATATTGGAGTTGCCTTTTTGTCGTTTAGCTAATGTATATTTTATTTTGTAGTTGCAAGCAAGGTCGTTCAGTTTTTCTCGCGCAAATATAAAATTATAGCCCACACACATTCATGGAAAAAAAGCGTACACAGACAACCAATTTGTGTGTGTGTGTTTGTGTTTTTTTCTCTCTTCTTTTGATTTGGTGTACGTATAACACGACTTCGCGTCACCGCTAAATGTTCCACAACGATTTCCGAATAAATTAAGCTCTAATTTTGGAGATAATTTCATTTCGTCAATCAATTCATCCTCATTGTATACAAAATCTCGATGCAAATGGTGATAAAATGTGAGAAAAAATAAATAAATATAAAGAAAAGAAAACAAACGACGACGGCAATGACGACGACGACGACGATGACGATGACATAGTCTTTGTGATATGTTTTTGTGTACAGTCGCACAATGAAGACACACAGGCAATGAAAGAAACGCACATTAAACACCGACACTCAACAATTTGGCTCAAAGTGACAATATAAACTGATTCACATTGACGCATTTAATAGCTGCTAAATATTAAAATGTATAGTAAACATGTTGTTTTGTTTATTGTTCAATGTACGATTAAATTTTTTTACAAAACGGAACGACCCTTGTTGCTCATCAAAGAAAAATAATAAAACACTTCGGGGTCTATTTTCCTTTTCTTTTTTCGTCACATCTCTGTGACATCGTTCTTTTTTCCTTTCAATTTGCGATTGGTTGAGTGGGATATATTGCATTTCACCGATCATTACAGCTCCATTTTTTTTTATTTCAAACATTCTATTCGAATGCTCTCGTTTGCTTTGTCAATTCGGTTTCTGGCACATGGTTTCAATTTCGAGAATTGCGCAAAATGAAATTAAATGGAAATAAAATGACATTCGTAAAAATGTAGCCCATTTTCTTTGATTGTTGTGTTGGTTGGTCTCTTCTGTTCGTTTCTCTTCTTTTCACATCTCTTCGGTTGGTTGATTGGCAAACTTTATTCAGTTAACAAAAAAAAATATCTGTGAAAGATATTAAGGTCAGTAAAATGACATATTTTTAGCACTTTTCAGTTCGAAAAGAACGTGTCGAATAAAGTTCAGAGTATTTTACTCAAGTGTGTGTCTGTAAAAGATGATTGTAACAAAACCGCTACGTGGTTGTTTTTTTTCTCTCATTACATCTTTTGTTTGAGTAAATCGCTTGTTATATTTCCCCTTTTACTTGGCGCTACGTCATAATCTTTGATCAGTTTGACAGAGAAAGAAAGGTGTGGAAAGTTGTGATACACACACAGCGTGTATTACACATAGAGATATGTACACATGTATTAATACACAAACTATTTATTTGAGAGCAAATTTGCACACGCCATATCACATCGCCCCCAATAATAAAGCCAATCATGGTGATCGTTTGATTATTATACGCAACCAGGAATACATGTTTGCTGGCGGAAGTATTTCACTTTACTGTGCATGTTGAATATATAAAAATAAATTAACGAAAAGAAAAAAAAAATAAAACGAAAAACCTGAAAGTGAAATTGAATGAGTCGCAATGATGCGTGTTAACGAGCGAGAAATAATGAAAGTAAAAGAGAAATTCGATATGTTTGCCAAAAAAAGAACGGTAACAACAACAGCAACACCAAAAAGCACACAACATACAATAACCGCGGTTAATTGGTACCGTTCGATTGCATATCACAATTTAAATTTAGATTCGACAATGAAAAATCGTTTTTCTTTCCTTAAAAATAGATTGAACTTTGATTACAAATATTTGGTTTTTTCGATTTTCAGGCGGATGATAAATCAATTTTGGCCAGATTTTATTATGCAGACAAAGCGTTAACAGCGGTGGCTAGTGAATTAGATAGTTTTGACGGTCGAGCAGAACCGGAAAGATGTTCACGACTGGTCGGAAGACTGAGACAAGGCCAGGTGAGAAACGATCGTTTTTTTTTTTCATTTCAACCTATAAATTGAATTGTTTTATTTTGACTCAACGACACACCGACACACGGATGTTTTCTTTACTTTTTTTTTCGTTTCGTTCTTCACAATATTTGTCATTTTTATACGTGTCTTTCTTCTTTTTTTTCTCTCTCGTTTCACTAGGACCAAGTGCTAGCAATAACAAATATTATAATGGATGAATTGTTGGGCGAAGATCGTGCACCACGAACATTTCGCGCAAAATTCCCCGAAGAAGTATTACAGGAAAGTTTAGCCGGTCAATTATGGTTTGGTGCCGAATGTTTGGCGGCTGGTTCATCAATTATGAATCGTGAAACGGAGAGTGCACAAATGCGACCGTTGGCCAAAGCAGTTACCAAATCATTGGATCATGTACGAAATCTATTGCGTGAACAATGCCTTCGAAATAAAACGCCAAATTCGTTGACATTGAATTTGGATTTAAATGATGCGGTGACGGAGACATTGTGCGAAAGTCTAAAGATTTTCGATCGTTTATTTGCCGAATTTGAGCTATTATATGTGAGCGCAATGGTACAGGTGAAATCAAAACAGGAACATGAAATGCAAGAATTGATTTGTGTTTTATTTTCGGAAACATTACAACGTGCCCTACGTATTGGTTTGTTGGAACAAGAGCAAGTTGATTATTATGATCCGGCGCTTATGTTTTCGATACCGCGTTTAGCAATCGTGGCTGGTTTGGTTATTTATAATAAAGGTCCATTAAATATGTCAATGCCAGCCGATCAATTATCGGAAATGTTTCGTCCATTTCGAACGCTTTTAATCAAAATTCGCGATTTATTGCGAACATTGAATGCCAACGAATTGTATCAATTGGAAAAGTTATTGTGCACAAACGAAGACATTCACATTTATACATCAACGCAGGAATCAAATCCGAATGATAGTGTGGTGAGCGATGAAATGTCAACAACAATAACAACACCAACAACGGACACAACCGAAACAATAACGACCACTACAACCGCTCCACCAACACCGGCACTACCAACCAGCGAAATAGCCAATTTTAATTGTGATGATTCCGATGATGAGGAAAAATTTATTGGAAGTAATAGTAGTGCGAGTAGCACAAGCAGCGAAAGCACAACGAGCACGGTGAGTCGCACGAGTAGCAATTCAAGCCAAAGTACAAGCACCGGTAGCAATAGCACATTAGAAATACCAAGCGCCATCGAAACCGATTTCGATCGACGATTTTCATCGAATCGAAGCAATAACATTAGCACAACAATGATCAATGACAATGAATTGGCACCAAATCACATTGTAAATGTTTGGTCGAATGCACCATATTCGAATGCTGAAGCATCGTCGACATCGTTGCTGGTTGATTCAACAATCGATTCAGATTCATCAACGAATCGCAATAAAAATGAATGGATATCGACAGAATGTGCGTCCGGCTATTTAATACCAAATACAAATTTTGGCAATTTACTCCAAACAACTGATACTCCATTGACTGATAGCTTTATCTCAAGTGACGATGAATATACACAGAAAAATTTAACAACGGTCACTGAAAATGATGATCCAATGTATGTGGTCGGTTCAACATCGATGGATACGATGGATAGTGAAGCCGATATGGCCGTTATTCAATCGATGATGGATAATGTACGTGTTTCAAATGAACCGAATCACATGCAAACGATTCCAGGTGTGGCCAGCGATATCAGCCGAATGGCAATGAAACATACGACCAATTGTGGCGGTGATTCGGGCATTGGCACGGCTGAAAATACCAGTTTGGATCACACGCCCGATTCAGAAATGAATAAATTAGTTGATTCGACAACGACAAATGATGTCACTATAACAAATAATGTACCATCCAGATCACAGCAACAACAACAAAATGAGCATGAGCAACAACAACGGATCGAAAATTCGTTTGGCATGTATGGCAACGAAACAAATACACCAAATACATCTGAAATTTATAATCCAAATACGCTTTACCAAAACTATGCAACACCAACCTACTACCATTCACAAGAGCATGGCGCCGAACAACAATATGACGAGGTGAGTCTTCCAATGCCACCACAACACCATACGAGATTACATTCATCGCAACAAAACCATTCCCAGTCGCAGCAAAGTCGACGCAGCGATCGATACGAACGAAAATCATGCCCAAAAACGAATAGCAGCCATTCGAGCAGCTCAAAAACTAGTTCGGGTAATACGCGAAAACGTTTGGCCAGACGTCGAACCACACGAAATACTGAAGAGAAAGTTTCCATATCATCGACATCGTGTATTTACTCCGAAGGTGATCCACAAGATGTTTGGCACAGTTCCGGTCGCATGAAGTTCAAGTAAGTGATTTCATTATTAAATTGTTAATTTTTTTTTTTTTATCCATATTAACATTGGAAATGAATTGTTCTCTTTGTTCAGGAGTACGGAAAATTTGTTACATCGTCTATTTGTGTGCATTGCCGGTGTTGCTGATCAGTTGCAAACAAATTTCGCATCCGATTTACGGCAAATATTGCGCAGCGTATTTTTAATGAACGTTTCACCGCCACCGATCGAGGACATTGAGATTGACATCAGTGGCAAATCGAAAGATTCAACGAGCGATTTATTTGAGTTTCGTGCAAGCGAAAATGATGTGATACATGAAAATGATGGTGGATCAAATCAAAGTATTTATTCGGCGGAAGAAGCAAATCCAGAAAATGATTCCGTATTTGAGCAGTCAATTGTTCAATCATTGCCGCCCGGTTCGGATCATCAGGAGCGAAGCGCAAGCCTCGAAACTGAAATTCGAATAACACACAGTCGTGTGAATGTTGAACGAAGTCAAAGTTTGAGCGATGATTCAAGCACGCGACCCGTTTCATTAGTTGTGAATACAACGCATCAAATACAGTGCGTTGAACGAAATGGCAACCACACCGAAATAAATGATAACAGTCCACAGACGAATGTGCCACGATTAATGGCAAATGTAAATAATAACAATGCAAATGTGAACAATAATCAAACGTCGCGATCGGTTGACAATTCATCGACGATGGCAACAACAACCACAACGATTATACTGACAACAAACAGTCGACTCAATCGAAACGATCAACAATCTCAACCTCAACAACAAATTACCGAAACACCACCGCGTTGGATACCCGACGAAGAAGCCGCTCAATGTAAGCAATTTTTTTTTAAATTTTGACACATCAGAATAAATAATAATCACTAATCTGACTTAAAATATATTTCTTCTAGGTATGTCGTGTTCACAAACGTTTACAACGTTTCGACGACGTCACCATTGTCGCTGTTGTGGCGGTGTATTTTGTGGAATCTGTTCAAATTCTCAGGCACCGTTACCGAAATTCGGGCTCAACAAAGCAGTGCGAGTGTGTCGAAATTGTTTTTCAATGAATATTACCGGAACTCAATCAGCTCATACGTAACATCTATGAAAACACCAATTCTGATTTCGATTTATATTTTTACGTTTTGTTCCCAAACCATCACGAAGACAACCAAAATTTGATTGATTTGTTCTTCTATATTATTTTTTTTTCTTCCTTTCTAATTTTGGTGTAAACAAAATTTGATATCCTTCTTGGAAAGAGTTGTAAATCAAAGCGAATGTGATTTGACTCTCCAACCGTGATACAATTTGTATTTTTATTATTATTATTATTTAAAAAAAAAAAAAAAATTATTTACACAAAATTGTAATATTCACATATTACTATTATTTTATTTTTATATATTTGTATGTATTGTACGTAAACAGATTTTTCGGCTATTATGTATAGGTGTACGCTGAACAATTTTATTCAAACAAAAAACTCAGAAAAAAAACTAGCAAATTAAATATGCATATGATTGAGATGAACAAGAAGGAGAATATACGAAATAGATATCACATGAGATACTTGTATCAATAAAATAATTGTATCCAGTTAAATTGACCGGTTTTTTCTTAATTTTTCAAACATACTTTTTTTCAATTTTTACTACAAGTCTCAATGTAATATGTTTATGTGTTGATTCAAAAAATAAATAAACTTTTCCACAAATAACACACACACACACACACACACACAGCAAAATAGGGAAATTCTTGGGAAATGAGTAGATCGAAAGAGATAAGAAAGTGACATTAAATCGAAAATAAACACTAGCCAAATTGTAAAGACGAATCTAAAGCATAAAGCATGAAATCCATCTAAGTATACATAAATATATATTTTTTTAACATTGTCGGGTATTTCTTTACAAGAATTTTTATTTCATATCAGTTAAGCCCGATAAAATCAATTAAAAACATTCAGACATTCTTGAAAAAGATCCTTTTTTTCATAGTTTTTATTTTAAATGGGCACATTTTCCGAAATTAATCAATTGTATATTCAAAATTCAATAAAAAAAGTTAGCTTAACAGTTCAACAACTTAATACAGAAGAAACACATTAACAAAAAAATTGGACGATTTATGTCTATAAAACAAATTATTTGCCTTAATTTTCTATTGATATCATTCCAAAAAAAAAACGGAAACTAAAAAGTGTTTTCTTCGTTAAAAAAATCGCATTCTGAAAATAAATTCAGAATTGAAAATTAATTTTATGGACTAATCGATGTGAGATCACTGTATTGCATTGAAATGTGTAAATTGTTCAACCAAAGTTACCAAAGAAATTCGAATAAACAATGAACGATGGTCACAGTATGGCCACGAATGTTGGCCACCCCATATAAAATGAATACATTGAATCTTTTTCAAGAAAATGTTTTTTCTTTCCAGATGCCTCGTGGTTTTGTAAATGGGCATATATTGTTCTTTGCATCATATCTACAAAAAACAACAAACATTTAGAATTTAAATTTCCTGAACCGAATTGAATGTTTGCGATTAATAAATTTGTGTGATAGATAATAAATTTCTTTAGATAAATACATATTATAAATAAATCATTTCTCTATCAGTAAATAAACGAAACGAAGATGATGAAGAAATTAAACAGAAATCAAATTTAAATGAAACAAAAAATATGCGCATTAGATAAATACAATTCCATTGGATAAAGATCCCCCCTATAGCATATATTTCTCAATTCATTTAATCAATGTAAAAAAAAACAATTGTGACAAGTTCATTAGAGAAAACATGTGCGTTACGATTTCTAGCATCAATATTAATTTTTATATTAAAAACAAAACATGATTCTTTAGATCTAAGAAATTAAACGAATTATTTAAAAAGCAAAATCCGGAACCACAGTAAAATTTATTCCGAAAAAGAAAACAACTACAAAATACATTCAAATGATCCACCTCAACAGAAATATCAAAAAACAAAGATTTTTGTGACAAAGAGACAGACAACAACAATTTAATGTTCTTGCATATACTTTTATTTCAACGAGATGTTAACAATTTGAACGCAACATATAGATTTGGTTTATTTTTGATTTTTTTTTCGTTGTTCAAAAGGGCAGTAATCCAATATATTTTTTTGCACATGCTTTCTCAAACAAAAATCATTTTGACAAATATTAACAAAATTTGCAAATAAAACAAACTTGTAAATAAAATCAATCTTTTATTTTTTCACATTTTGGTTATTCGTTAGTGTAGCATATTCGTTTCTTAGTGGGATTTTTGAAGGTTTGGACACGAGGTTTAATAAAATCGTTTAAAAAATGTGTTTTTGAGCGATATGACCGGTAGGTGTAGCGGCATATTTTTTGAAACATTTTTTTTTTTTTTGAAATGACATTGTATTGTTATGAAATTGATAAATTCGCATACAAGGCAATGAAAACCGTGCACGGTTTGGACATGTGCATATGTAATATCAGGCAAGATGCAACATTATTATCATTGCATTAGCTTAAGCACAAACACACACACGTCTATACAGTAAATAATAAACGATTTCAAAAAATTGCTGAAATTACTATTTGATTGCATCGAAATTACTTCCTATAACATGGAAGTTCATCGGATTTTTATCCAGTTTATTGAATGACATGACATTGCCGAGAGAAACAAGCGTGTAGATGTGAACAGACATTCATTATGGCGTGCGCATGCTAAATTATTTGATAGATTTATGTTGATAAATGTAAACAAATTCTATCAATTCAATCTACAATACTTGATTGCGTATTGATGTAATCAAATTGAATTGTTGACAACGGTAAATAATAGAAATTTTTGATTTGAAATGCTATCCACTTTTTCCATACGTTCTCACGGATTGAGAATTGCCATCGTCTTTTAATGCCAAAATTTGGATGCTTCCATGTGAAGCTCATTCATCTAAGTTTTTCGAAAAATATAATTTTTTACTATATTTTTGATTCAAATTCGAAATGACCCATATAGCGTGATTCCAACATTCAAACAGGAAATCATTTCACTGCATATATCGTAATCGTTTAAATCAAAAAAAATTGAATGTGAAGGTTTCAACCGTTTTATAATCAATGCAAATAAATGCATCTCTTTTTTGTAATTTATCGTCTGTCTTGTCGTTTATTTGAAAATTCCCGACTGTATTGTTAGCAAGAGAGTCATCACCAAATCACTTCATTGATTCATATGCAATTTTCGTAATCACAAAATTGTCTAAAATATCTTGATAACCTTGTGTATTTCAATGATTTCTGTTAATGTAATTGATTATTCGAATCCATACGGAATTCGTTCCATTTTAGTGTCTGACATTTCGTATGATATCTCAAAATCAAGAATCATCAGAAGGCTTTTTTTTATAAACAAAACCGAAAATAATTATGATATGAACTAAATAGTTTAATGTTTTTTATGTGTTCTTGTCAACGTATTGTGTTTGTTCGTTTTCTCAAAGGAATCGAAAATCTATGTGGGATCCAAATTTGATTGCACACAGACAATATTTGGCCATTGAGAATTGATAGAATGATAACATTCAAAGGTAATTCAGTACAGTTCTTCTTTTAATTTCAGCCATTCCGGATGGTACTTCTTGAAAAAGATTCTTCACCACGAAACTTTAAATTTGAGATTTTTTTTGTAGAAATTCCATTTTCGATATTGGAAAATGTTACTGAAAAGTATACAATTTTAAGGAAGATTTTTAGAAATAAAACAAGTCCAAACTTTCACCGAGAAATCAATATAATAATATTTAACAAGTGATGAATTGATAAAACAGTTGGTTAATTTTAATTTAAAAATTCTTTTGCGCATAAGATGATACCGCCCATTGTACAAGTTTTGTCTGCCTTTGAAACAAGGTAAGTGTGAAATTTTTTAATTATTAAATTTATCAAATCTTGAATTGGCTAAAAAAAGGTCTGGTTTTGGAAACAGTGCGATGTAAGTGATTTTCGATCGATTATTAATGTTTTTTGAACTCAGAAATGTCAGTGGAAAATTTCGAATAATGGAATACTGATCATATACTTGATCAAAAGAACAGGCCTCACAATTCACCGAATAAAAATAACTCATTGACCCAAAAAAAATTGACACTAATGTATGAAATAAGTTAAGGGTAAATGATGGAATAAAACACCAACAATTATTTAGTTCGATATAAGATGTCACTTAGTTCAATTTCTGACTATCTGCAATGAATCAACATGTATGTTTAGTAGCCAACCATTGGCCAATGTTCGAAGAAATTTTATCGAATAATTAACAAAATATAATGGTTTCATAAAACATTAAAAATAGAAACGATATAAAATCATTATTACATAGAAATGGGAGTGAATTGGTCTCTTTATCGACGAATTAAGAATTTTATGATTCAGATCAATTATCATATGTAATAGTTTGTATTTATAGAAATTGTTAATGCATGTCTATTTAACCATCAAATGAATAGAACAATTTTAAATTTCTTTTGGTGCACTGTACATTACATACTATGTAAGTTGACTTTGTACTTTACTATTTCAAAATTAATAGCATTACATTTCAAGAATTGCTAGAAATAATATAGAAGAGTAGACAAATAATGCCAGTAGAAACAAAAATCGTGAAAAAACACAGGTGATAAAATCAAAAGTAATCAGAATCACATATGTTAAAATGGATCAAACTACCAGTTGATATAATACTGAAAGCGGCAAATTGGAAAAAGCTGTTAAAATTGATAAAATTTAAAAAAAACTGTTGTTAAAAAAATGTCTGCAGTTTATCGACCTCAATAATTTGAGTTTTTGAGTGAAAATCCACAAAACTTTCAAATTATGGTATTGAATAAAAAATTCCCAAGACAGAAACGATATTCGACAAGTCTATATTGTTTGTTGAATGGTTCTAGGGTGCAAATCCCCATGATATATGGTAAAATTTGTAAAATAAAAGTTCCAACATTTAGTTCCAAAAATTATTTTAAAGAATTTTATATTTATAATTTAAAAGGAAAACACATGTGTCAGCGTTCATGGAAATAAATTATTTCATATCTTTATTTCGACAAATGTCGTATGATGATGCTTCAATCAATCTTCAGCGAATAAATAAAAGTTTGGTTGAATCATTTTTCTAAATGAAACGCGAATATAATGAAATGTTTCGTTTAAGGATCAAATTTTTATCAGTTTTCTCATGATACAATGTCCATGTTGGTCTGTTGGATTTTTTTAAAATGAGTTATTGATGTCATTCATTGTTTTATTATAAATTGGATATTCTACTTCATCAAAATTCAATAGTTTTAATGTATCAAGCATTTTTTGCTGTGAAGCTAGTTGACTATTTTCAAAGTTAATTTCGGTATTTGAATAATTGGCTTCCATTTCCAAAGTTTTCAATTTCTTGAAATGATTGATAAAATTCAAAATTTGTTCATCAATACGATCTCCGCGCAAGATGAGCATATCAAATGAAAGGTTTCCAAGCAATTCGTTTGTTTCACGAATTGTGACGTCGAATGTGGATACAGATGATAGATTATATACACGA